ATTTTTCAACCTGCTGTTGGAAGCACTACAGGTGCACTGGAGCGCTCGCAGTTTGATTAGCTGCCCTTTCTCTCCTAACACTGCCTGTTTCTGTTATTAATGTAGGGAAGTAAAATGCTAGCGGTCAGATTGTGATTTCAGAGGCAAAATCTTCTGGACAGTAGAAGGTTCCTGTTTCACAAAAGCAATAGGTGTTTTCTCCTCTTTATTCGGGACAGGTTTCAGGTAGCTTTACAGCATGGTACTGTGAATAACACCAGCAATTAAGTATCCTGCTTTTCAGCTTACCCACGTAACACTGAGATGCTGTTGCTATTACAAAGCTTCTGTCATGACATGAGTATATTACATAAAAAATACGTGTGTTTTGATTTTGTTTAACGGTCAGGCCCGTTGGCTCAAGCAGGAGATTTCCCAGTGACTTTTTCCAATCCTTGAATATTTCTTAAAGCACTAGTGAGGGAGTAATGGCTGTAGTGACTGCTTCTCAGTTCTTCACAGCAGTGTTTGCTTGTCGCTCCTTTCCTTGGGTTTTTGGAAAAGGGGGACTGGGTGTGACTGCTAGGTAGTTGTTGTCATACAGACAGAGGGGGGAAAGCAGTGCAAAATATAAGCATGTAGGGAAGACTAAGAATCGGATCTTAGTGGAAAATACTTCTGTTGGTGGAATATGCTCTCTGGATTTGCTTTGGTGAGTGATAAGAAGGCTAAGCTAGTGATTCATTATGAACAATAAATCTAGAAGACAACACAGGAGCAACGCTTGCTGCCTACTTTGGGATTATCGCTGAAAGCTTTTAGAGAGAAATGGTGCTGTCATGGGAAAAGAAGAAATCTGAACTTCATTATTAAATCCTAAAAATTCTTGTCGTAGAGTAAAATTTTGCCAGCCTTCAATCCAGAAGTAAGCACTGATAGGGCTGATGGTTTTTTGTAGGAACCCCATACCCATAAGTGCATTTGATGTTGCCATTGCTGTCTTAAAAGCCCATCCTATTTTTATGTATATGTCTTCAGGTATCCTGATGCCAGCCTTTTTTTTCTTAATGTGGAGAAATACTTTGCTGAAATACCTTGAAAGTACCCTGCTCTTGGCTCTCAATATCTTACATGTTGCCCACACTTACCTACTAGGGCAAATTGTGTTCAAGCACTTGCATTTCTTACAGGGATGAGACAGTTGTTCAAAAGCAAAATACTTAATTTTAATAAAACATTTAGAGAAAAAGAGCTTTTAAAAGTTTTTATGTGTTAATTATACCTGAAGAAAAGCATTGCCCAATGGTGACCTGGACAGAATTTAGTTTTTCTAGTTCCCTAGTGGGTTGTGATTGCCTGTTTTAGCTGAGCAGCTCCCCAGCGTCTGCTCAGGGCAGAGGGCATTTTGAAACCCCCCAGATGTACTTTTGTTCTAGTCATTTCCCATATTTTTGACTTCCCTTGTCAAAACCATCTGTTCTGTAAAATATTTGGAGCTAACTGGTTGTTATATTCCTTGCTAATCATTTAGGCAACGTCCCTTCTCTCAGTTTATGTGCCAGTTGAATAGCTTTTCTTTGTCCATTACTTCTTTCATGGTTCTCTGTAAAATCTGTGTTCTATAGATTCAATCTATAGATAGATAGTTAGAAAAGTAATCTCTCTATTGGCAAGTGTACAGCTGGTCATCCAATCACTAGCTTAGTGTGTGGTGTTTATGAATATTACAGAACAGCTCTAAATTTAGGCTTAGAAGGTGAAATGTTGGAATCTCACTTAGAAAGGTGTGTGCGTTGATAGGTGTTTAAAAAAAAAAGCAGCAATGAGATGAAGGAGATTAGTTAACTTAAAAATTCTATGAGAAAGGTGTGTGGGCAGTCAAAAAGCTGAGTCCCTTCAGCACTGTGTTGGGCAGACGGTATTTTAAAATGTTCACTGCTGTCTGTGGATGGTAGTCCACATGAGTACAGCTGGTGGCACTGCAGCTATACCCCACACTTACCACATGAGACCGGGATCTTTGATGTTTTGTGGTGTTAGGAGTCCTCCTGTGACCTGCCTGTCCTTGTTTTGAGGGTTGGGGCAGGAGCTCGTCAAGCTTTGTGCTCCCACTTATACCAAAGGCATGCGGGGATCATTTTAATATATAATTTTGATTTATGGGGCAAGAAAGGTGTCTGCAAATGCTAGCTGATACTACAGAAATACAAAGTGCTGTCAAAAGGCTGTTTAAGGTAATAATTGTGTTGCATCAAATTCAGTAGGAGTTGGATAGGACCTGTGTTAGGAGGAATCAAACATGCCATTTCACCCAAAATATACCATTATTTGAAAATAATCTTTACATAGAATAGATGCAAGTATGCCCATGCATTCTGGAAACTCATTTTTCCAGGGTGTTACTTGTCCCTCTGCCTCAGTGTGGGTGATGCATGATTACAGCATCAAGACATCTGTGCAAAGTCTGCCATAGTTATCTTAGACTGCTCTTATATATCATTTGAACAGATACAGAAGGAGTTTTGGAAATACAATATGGGTAGAAATGCAGTCATATGTTCCATAGCGATATATTATTTAGGAGGGTTAGCACTGCAGTAATAAACTCTTCAGGTGATAATTATAATGATTGTTCAACCTGAAAAATAAAAAATAAAATACATGACCTTTTCTGAGGCCAGGTCCGATAGAAACTGATTTTTTTTTTTAAATACTGTATTGGACTAAATTTAAAGGACTATAAAACTCTGTGTAGAATTCATTTATGTTAGTATGCAATATTGTTAAATGATATAGGCGTTTTATTATTTTCCAGTGTACTAACAGCTTATATCTCATTACTCAATTAGCTTCAGATTGAGTGGCAGGGCAATACATTGCAATTTTGTTAGATGCTGCGTATTCCTTTCTAAATGAAAAGAACCAAAAAAAAAAAAAAAAGAGAGTGGGGGGGACAAAAAGTTTGTTGTAAAAAGGCAAGAATAGATCACTTTATTCCTCCAGCTTGGTGTAAGATGACTCTTCAGCTTTGGCAAGTGAACTGCAAATACGCATAAACTTTTTCAAGAAATTAATGTTTGCGAGCAGCCCTTTTCCTTTTCAGAAAATTGCAAATCCAGTTATATCCAATGGAACATATTCTTCTGCCAGCGTCTTCATAGGTGTCTTTAGGAAGTCTCCTATTTTCTTGACTTGTTAATGTACGTGTAATGTATCCTCCCTGTCCCGTGGGGTCCTGATAGTTGCAGAGACCTCTATGCACAACTGTGATACAAATAATGACTAGAGATTTTAAGGCTACAAAGTTCTGGAAATTAAGTCTTCATGTAGATGGGAATTGTGAGGGTTTTTTTTTTAAGAGAAAAAACTGACCCGGCAAAGCAAACAAACTTGGTGGTTCATTTTGTCTTTCCAATTTCAGTTATTTGTGTTATGATTGTTCCTGAGACTCTAATTATGGAGTTTTGAACAGTACTCACTCAAAAAAAGAAATGCTTTATCATTTTTTTTTAAACCATCTAATCCAGAAATATTTGAGAGATGGGAGATAGATTTAAAGGGGAGAGTGCAGGGATTAACATGATCAGCTTCATGAGTGGATCAGCATGACCAGGTGTAGCATCAACGTGTAGGTGCCTAACATAGGGATGGAAATCTCAGAAAATCAGATTTCTGGAAATGGTTTGCTTTGTGGCAGGAGGCCAAAAAGAGTTTGAAGGAGGCTGAGTTAGCTTTGCAAATGTTTTTTGGGGAAGGAGATCCTAAGTGTAAAAGATGCTTCCAAAAAAATCTATTGAGTGGTAATGGACACAGCCACCCTAAGTCAACTGAAAATACTGTTATCTCTGACTCTAGGCTAAAATGTAATTTAAATTAATACAGTATAAGCCATAGGCTCTCTTAATAATTCCTTCATCCTAACTGTTCACATTATGACAAGAGATACTTTTAGTATTTTTCTCTTCTAGGAAACGGTAGTTACAATACATTGGAAAATTTTGGTAGGGTAGTGACTTCTTTTTACATGCACACTACTTGGCTGGTCCCCATAATGGTTTTACCACATACTCTACACAAATGCTCAGGAAGCAACAGTCAATTTTTGCTCACTTCGTAACTGTTGAGGCACTGTGTGTTGAAGATGACTTTTCCAAGTAGTTTACCTAGTCACAAGAGGGAGGAATGAAATTTCTCTATGATGGTAATGCATGCTGCCACCTGATTGACTCTTGGATGTCACAGGGCAGTAAGAACATGGGAACAGGAAAACATTTCAGATGGTTGGTACTACAGGCCTTTTGAAGAGCGTGCAACCTTGCCAGATGTCATATGTTGGACATCTCTGCTCTGCGTTTGGGAGCTCTTTCATATCACCTTGTATCCTCAGTAAAATGAAGGAGAAGTTTCAGATGCCACAGCATGGACTATCCTGCGTATTGTAAAATTATGTTTTTTGCAGAATTTTACCATGTTTTTCACCAATTTCCATTAAGCTTTCTGAGCATTAAAAAGCTTTGTTTCTTAGCTAAGTTTTGCATCTCTAGCATAGGTTTAGGCAACTAACTTTCAGTCGTCCTGTACATAAACTGATTGAAAGATTACCCAAGTTTACTTCTATGAAAGGATGGCGAATCAATACGATGGTCCTCTTTAACAAAATACCAGATACTTTGGAAATTAGCTAATTTTCCATTACTTCTTTATTTACAGTTGCTGCCATCTCACAAGACAAGTAGACTTGAGAATATGTGTTGATGTGAAATGTGGGGAGGCAGGGAAGAAAGCCATACGGTGTGTTTTGTGTTTGCTTGGACATCCATTTAGTTCCTTTCTCTACAGGGGATTTGTTTTCTTGAAATACTTCTTGTCACAGATTTGTTTTCTTGAAATGCTTTGTGTCACCAAGAACATACAAAGTTTGCAGTTGTTTTCAAAACATTCCAATTTGTACTTTATTATCATTTTCATAGGTATTGCTGAGTGGCATTACTGGAATGATTCAGTAATGGCTCTTAAGAGCCATGATATGTGTAAGCAAGAAAACTTTGCATTCATTTTACCTGTTGGCTTTTGGCTGCCTCAAGCTTGTTTTTCTAAGTGAAATCTCTGCATGTTAGATTAATTACTGCATTTCAATTCCTTAACTCTTGAAAAAACTTGGACGTTGGCTATGTAAAAGCAATTAAATGTACAATGATTTAGCCAAGAGTCCAAATGTGTATTACAGCTTGCAGCTGAAATGACTATACAAAAGGAACACAGTGCTAATTGTTGACTCTGTATCGAGTCACAGATTCCTGCTCCCCCCATACTGTTAACAACTATTGTGGTGAACAGTATTAATTAGCATCAGTGATCCAGGGACCTGAGAGCTATTGCTGATTGATAATTGCTGTTTGACTTATATATGACTTATGATATGTACTTGGGTCTGTGCAAGGTCAGGCAGAGTGTTATCAGGTGAGTTAAGATCATTGATTATTTCCTTTTGCTGTTGTTGGTGTGGCCTAATTTGGACATCAGTGAAAGCTGTTGCTCGTGCCTTAATTCCTACAGGAGTTGCTGTTCTTCCTGGATTTTTTATGGGAAAGTCTACTTGTACTTCCTTTTTGCAATCGCCTGTTGTTAAATGATCTGTCCCAGCAGTTAGGTGTGCAAATACACGTGTTGCATAATATGAATGACCAGATCTGTGTACATTTCTTCTTTTTCTTTTTTTTTTTCCCTTTTAAAGCCTGAGACTGCAGCTGTGCTGAAGCGCACTGTTGAGGCCCTTATGGAGAGAGGAGCCGTTGTGAGGAACCTAGAAAACCTCGGCGAAAGGTCTCTGCCTTATAAAATCTCCAAGCACAAAGAGCGGCACAAAAGAGGAGGGTATGCATGACACATTATTCCTGAAAATATTTCAAATGCTTCTTTAAAATGTTCATATGCAATTCTCATGGTTTGGCCTTCTGTGTGCTACTTGGGAGAGTATATGCAATGTTTATCACCTCCAAAAGGTGTTCTGTGGCTGTTCATGCTGCACCCTGCTATAAGTATTTGGGGGGTTTATTCTGTACACTGTTAGCTTTTTGGCAGTTTTTAGCTGTCACATTATGAATAGCTCAGGCCTTCGTAACTCCTTCCCCTGGCATAGGCAATGTTATTCTGCTATGTCATTTTTACGTAACTATTTTCAAAGCCAGTCATGCTGTTTACTGATGAAAGTCTTATCTAATCTGCTGGCTACCAATTGACAAAACTGATTCTTTTTTCTCTTAACGCATCTGAACTAAATGTTAATTACCACATATATCCTGTGAGGCTTGTGTGTGTTTATGATACAGGTTTTAATAGCCATGACCGCCTAATTCGTGGGGTGTATTGTTTGCCTCCTTGAGGATAAACAAGCACGTTTATCCCAAAGAGATTGTTGAGATTCCCAATTCAGGTATCAGCCAGCGGATTCCCCCTGAGATGAAGTGCGAAGGTGCCGCAGATTTCATCCGCCCGTTGCTTGCCCTCATGTTTCGCTTGCGCGCGGCTGGCGCGGGCAGGGCGAGCGGGCTCCATGGGTCGCCTCTTGGCTTTGCAGCCACCCTCAGCTCATCTCCTCAGGGCTCACTCACGGTTTCACTCCTTCTTCTGAAGACCTCCTTACTCTCCTGCGAGGAGCGTTGGCAGCGGTGACTGATGGAAAGGGTAGAGGAAGAGAGCTCTATGTTGTGCTTCTTGGCCAAAAGCACTGGTGTCATGACCGTAATGGTCTTGTGCTCTTTTTCCATGGGGCCTATAATGGGTTGTCTTCAAAGCATCTCTTGACCCTGACGGTCGTATTTTAGCATCAATCCCTGTTGACTACACATGGAGGCTAATGAAAGCCTTCCCTCAAGACAGAATTATTGGTTACATCATTCTTCCATTGGCATAGAAGAATTCTTTGAATGCTAAATTCTTCCTGGACTGCTTAAGCAGAACAGGGATCTGGTATTATACTCATTTTACACTGGGGAGCCAAGCCAGAAGGATTAAGTTCCTTTAATTTTATATGCTGAAGCTGTGACTTCTAGATTTGTTATTCCTGCAATACTTAACGTGCTGTAACATGTCATTGCTTCAGATAGCAGTTCCCACTCAGATCGCTGCTCCCAACTTGGGTGGCAGCACTTCTGCAGATCAGGTCTCAAGTTCTTCAGCTGGGAAGCCAGAAGAAGAACACAATAACCAGTATCGAAGGAGGTGGGAAGCAGGGATGGATGGAATCCATTCCTCCAGACCCTTAAAGAAGTAACAGATCACCTGGTTCATAAGCAAGAGCAGGGGATCTGCAGAATGCAGCGCTTTTCCCTGCAGAGTCCTCAGCATAGGCTTATATTGCATTCCAAGTGAAGCAGATTTTTAGTAAAAATAATTGCAATCATGTCTTGATACATAGGCACGAAGCCATCAAATTAATATCACCATCGTTATTCCTCTTGCACCTCCCTATTCAACTCTCTCAAAACATTTAGTGGTCATTCTGCTTGCCCTGGATTTTGTCTCTCTGTATTTGAATGCGACAGTTCTCTGCTCTGAATTGTCTGGCTTCTTGAAAGAGAGAAGCTGATGGAGAGAGTGCACTACTTCTGTGCTTTCAGCTGGAAACTCAAATTCAAGAGGAACCAGATATTATAATGGTAAGCAGCAGGCAGTTTCAGTATCTGATAATGTGGGAGAATGTATTTATATAGATTTTGCTAAGGAGATTGCAGTTCAGCTTGAGTGCAGTGGATTCCTGATAGACCATTGGATAATTTGTGTGGTTGGGAGAGTAACTCGGGATATCAAAGAGAGAGGAGTAGTGAAAAGCCAGTTCTTTATCCACCTTTTAAAAACTGATCAGTTCTACTTTACAACATATGTAAAAGTAATCTTCTTTTTAACAGGACAAGGTGTTCAAAAAAAAAAAAACAGAAACCCAGACTTGATAAAAAATAAGCTTTTAGAATATCTCAGTAAGTTAAATATGCACCTATACTTTCTAAGAGATCCTAAGATCTTTCCTCCTTCATAATATTTTTTTAATTCTGTCTTTGTTTTCTTAACAGATCTTATTTAGTAAGAAAAAACCTCTCTTTCCTACTCCCTCCCCTTTCTTATCCACTTGGTTTTGAATAGTATAGAGTGTTGCAGAGTAACTTGGTGTAAATAGTATAGCGTGTCACCTTTTCATCAATATTTTCATTAACGATTTCTGCGAGCACAGATGATGCTGCGCTGTGAGGAGAGTATAAAATCTTTTTTTTTTCTTTTTTTTTCTTTTTCTTTCTTATAGCATGTAGAGCTTTTGGGCTTGGGATGTATGATGAATCTATTACTTCTTTGACCTCCACACTGGTAAATGGTCTGAAAATTACTGCAATGCCACATTGATAGCGTGGGTCACCGCTTATTAGAATCTGCCTTTTGGAGACAGCTCTTGTCCTCGTGACCATTGAATGAACTCCCTCCCTGTCACTTGGTGGCATATGATCCCCTCAAGAGTACTTACCTGGAAAAATAGATCAGAGAACATATTGGTGTTTTATCATCCAAAATAGTGTAGAGTGTCTAGTTCTTCTCCCTTATAAAACTCCTCTTGTGTTACCCAGTCTGTTTGTCTTAGCTTGACTTGAGTGATCTGTGTTGCACCATCCAGCTACATACATTTTCCACGGGCATGAGCTCTGTGGTGTGTAGCTGCCATTTGCTTTCTATCCCTTTGCTGTGTGTTTCTTTAATTTCATTTTAAATAGAAGTCAAGAGTTTACCAGCAGCATGTAATAAAACTGAATGATTGACAGAAACAATGCGGCAGCACAATCCTCACAGCAAAACTGCCACTGGACCTAGCCAGGTTATTGTAGGGTCTTCCATGACTAGTAAAGAATTAAATTGGAAAATACATATTCTTAGGTCAATTCTAGGTCAGTTTTTTTCCATACGAGTTCCGTAGTGCTTCAGCATCAACTCGGAAAGCTGTTACCGCATTAAAGGCACGTAATGCATTTAGCAATTTCCAGGAGACTTTTCCGAGAACGAGAGTTTTACTGGCAGCCGATCGGAACGCGGAGATTTTTCATGGCTTCCATCGGGGACTGGTGCCTGCAGCTGTTGTCGGGATGAACGGGAGTTGCACTCCCCCAGGCAGCTTTGAAGACCGCAGATCACACATCTCATTGACTTGTTCCTTTTCAGCGAACAATATTCACTGAGGAGGTGGTGCATGTGTGCTGAAAGTATATTCAAACAGATTTAGGTCCTAAATGTATCTCTTTTGGCGGAAAGCACCTTCGTTTTTTAGAGTATCTAATATTGACAGCTTTTGTATTTAAGTGATTAGGAAAAATGTATGTTTCAGGGACTGTGTGGATGCATATGAAGAGCAAAACTTTTAAATCATTGGTTTACTGATATTTCAACCTGAAGTTAAAGTAGCTACTAATTTAATTGCTGATATTAATAACCATAAGGAATTCATATTTCCTTTTACAGAATTTAGGATCGTGGTTCAAGTAGATTCTGTAACGTTTCACAGAACTGTAGCAAATACTGTTCATCCCATGGATGAACCAAATGAGTAACAAGGACACCTTGGTTCCAATGTGGGGTAGGTATGTAAATTTTTTTGAGATACTGAGTGTAAGTGACTTGCCCATGTCACTGTGTAGGTTTAAAAAAGAATAGTAGATAAGGATTCCCAAATTTATCTGCTAAAAGGCAATAGCGTTTGCTGTGACTATTTGGTTTTCTAGCCACTACTTATTTGTTATTTTTAATGAGTTCTTTTTAAATTATTCTTAATACATTGGTACGTTTTTTTTCTCTTACACCATATCACGTGTATCAAGTGCTTATTTTTGGAACAAGCAAAGGTGAACTGATTTAAATAAGATGGGTATGTTAGTATTTCAATGCAAGGAATGTTAAGCTGTAGATTTGTTTGCTATTTACAGTGATACAAAAGCACTGTATCCCTTAAAGCAGCTTGCAAATAAAGTGGCCAGAAAAGCACTGGATGAAATTACAGTGCCATTGCTGCCCACCTGGTCAGTGTTAAACTGGAGAATGTTGCAGCTGCTCATAAAAGCTGGATCCCTGTAGCACAATCTGTGGGTCAGGTTGGGTTTTCTGGCATACCCGAGCTGGCTTTCGCGCTGCCAGGCTGTGACTTAATCTTGTGACACTTCATGCTTCAAGGCATTGGGCAAATAAGCTGTTTTGGGGGAGGTGGTTAGTTTATGGGATATTTTTATTCTAGGAGAGCTGGTGCAAGGAAGTCTATGAAAGAGATCTTTACAAAACAAGGTTCAGACACTGCTTTGGGACGATGGCTCTAACATGTAACAGACCAGAGATGTAGTACGCTGGAGGAAGGAGCTATAGCTGGCTTTCTGGGGAGAAGAGAGTGTCCAGATTTTTTCTGGATTTTTCAATATTGCCGTATACCTGGTATCTTGCTGTCCTCTGGCTGCCATTCCTATTTTGGTTCTCCCTCTGTTGTATATCAGCTTGGTCACTGCTCAGGTCAAGTTATTCTGTGAATCAGTAGAGCTTGGTGGTCTCTACCTTTGCTCTGTGTGTGTGTTTGCTTTCCCCCCACTTAATCCACCTGTAATTTAGTAATTTTTAGACCTTTCTCCCTGCATTTCAGACTGATGCATTTACTGTATTCGTGAGTTCTCCAGTTAAACTATGCATAATTCTGATTATTCATAACAATTTTCATGTTTCTTTTGCCAGTTTTCACTGCCTTGTTGTTTTTTTCCCTTTCAAATCTGATTTTGAAAAGATGGCAATTTTCTTTTGTTATTTGCTTGCTTGTCTCTTAATCTTTTTGTTTTGCTTTTCATTCCAGTTATCTCATCAACCCA